GGCGTGCTGGGACTTGGGGGATGTAACTGAATGATCTCCTCACCCTGCAGCCGGTCACCAGCTTCTGTGACCCCAGGTATCCCCTTTCCCCAGTGACTGAGGTCCTAGGGAGGAGCCTCAGGGAGTTAGACGCAGGGGAGGAGGGGGCAGCTCCCGCACAGAAGAGATCAGCGCCACCTGCCAGGGGCCAGCTGTGGCCACTGCCGGCCACCGTCTGTCTAGGACCCCGGAGCCCTGGTCACCCGGCTGACACTGAGGGAGCCCACCCTTGGCGATATCCGCCCTTTCCTCAGCCCCAGAGCAATCTCTGGGACTCACGCTATGCCCATGTGTCCTCAACACGCAGCTTGTGGGGTTCGGCCCCTCCAGGAAGCAATGCCCAGAGCGCATTTCAGAAGCGCGGACAGCAGGCCGGTCAGGGACAAGACGTGCCCAAGGGCGCGGCAGCAGCCAGACAGTCCACAGGGGAGCAGTCAAAGGCAGGAGGGTTCTGAGAAGCAGAGGTCAGGCCTGTGTTGGGCTCATGGCTTCCTGGCAAGTGAGAGAGGTGGGGTGGGGGAGATCCACTCACAGGGGGCCCAGGCCGGGCAGGAGGAACTTGCAGGTGAGGACAGGTGGGAGCAGCTTTGAGCAGGTGGGAACAGGTAGGAGGAGGAGGGATGGGGGAGGTCCGCCCCGGGGGGCCCAGGCCAGGCAGAAGGAACCTGAAGGTGGGAGCAGGTGGGGCCAGGGGGGAGCAGATGGGGACAAGTGGGAACAGGTGGGAGCATGTGGGAGCAGGAGGGGAACAGGTGGGAGCAGGTGGCATGGGGGTGGTCCATCCCCGGGGGCCCAGGCAGGGCAGGAGGAACCGCAGGTGAGAAGAAACCACTGAGCACCTGGGGGGGTCATCACAGCATCGATGGGGAGAGGACGGCGTGATGTGAAGAGCCCTCCCCGCCCCCCATATTCAGGAAGAGGAAAGGAGGTAAAGGCCGGGAGAGTATGGTTAGACAGTGCTGCCTGCCTGGTGACGCAGGGACGGGAGCGGGGACGTCTCCACAGGCACTGTGAGCTTTCCGCTTACAGGCAACCCAGCAATTTTCTACCCACTCCATTTCCAAAAAAGATGCTTATTTCAAATGTCACTGGGCTGCAGTCTGGTCCCTTTCCTGCGCGGCACTGCCGGCTGGCTCTGGGCAGCCCCACCCTGCCGCGGGGGAACTGGCACGAGGGCTGGGCTGGGGGAGACTGGGACCTCCACCCACCCCTGACCATCACCTGCCTGAATGAGCATCGTAATCAGACAACACTGAGGGGCAGTGGGACGTGGGCTCAAACCCCAGAGATGAATTCTGCTTGATTACACGCATGCGGAGGCATTTACAGGGAAGGCTGCAGATGTTTGCAATTTGCTTTAAAACGCATCAAAAAAGTTAAAAGGATTGATGGATGGCAGAGGGGCGGCATCACACGGCGCCACAGTAAAGCGCTTGTGCTGGGATGTGGGTGGTGGGTAAGCGGGTTGCGCTGTGGGGTCCGTTCATCTGTGCTCAGATGGGCACAGTTTGCGGCCAGGCCGGGCCAGCATCTCCTGGGCCCAGGGCCGCCATGAGGCCGGCCCCCTCTCGGCGGTGCGCGGGGAGCCGCAGGTGGCTTGCTGCCATCAGCCCCCAAATGTGACCCATCAGAGACACAAATGTGGAAGGGCACGTTTGTCCCCTTCAAGGCAAGACATGGGACGGTGGCGTTACTGACTGCAGTGGCAGCGGTGGTAGCCATGCTCAACTGGCACGTGAGGCACCGGCTGGGTGCTCTCACCCAGTTAGCTGAAGCGGCCCGCCTGAGGCCGGGCCCACAGGCAGTGTGTGCTCCCCCCTCTTCCTGAAGGAGAGGGCAGGTCCGCGTCAGGGCAACAGAGACCAGAGTCCTGCCACCATTCCTCAACCACTCCCCTGGTTCTGGGAAACTAAGGCCAGTACAGGGGTGCATGGGGCGGGCACCCAGGCAGAGAGGGCAGAGGCTGCGGCTGCCGGCCGTCTCCCGCTCTGTGGCCACCAGCTCGCCATAAGTGTGCTCCGGGGCCCCTGGCTCCTGCAGCCATGCCGAGAGCACAGACCTGCCCTGCTTCCGGCTGGACACGCGGTGGTTTGCTCTCACCCAGCCTGGAAAACGCTGCATGCATCCGACCCATTCGGTCTCTAGAAGAGGTGTCTGTGACCCCCGGTGGAGGCCCGCCGCCCTGGGCTGCAGCAGCAGAGCACTCGGGGAACCAAGGTGGATGTGGGGACAGCCAGCCACCCCGCCTGGACGCCCAGAGGGCACAGTGTGGCAGGCGCACGCCCAGCTCCGCGCGGGGACAGGAGCTGTTGCCTTACCAGCCAGCTGTGAACTAATTACAAGAAGTTCTAACTAGTGGCTCCCTCTCCAAGCATATGTTCCCAATTAAGTCACACCGCAGCTGATTCTCATCAATCCTCTGTGAAGCAGTCCATCTCAAAGCCTCTCCTGGGAGGGTAGGAGGGCACGGAGAGGAGGGAGTCTGCACGGGACCACCCGTGCCACACTGGGGTATGGCTGAGGTCCCCTGCCCTGCCCACTGTGGCTGGCTGCACTGCTGAGCATGTCCCAGATGAGACGGGGGCCTCACAGGGAGGCAGGAGGGATGACACCCACGTGCTCCTGGGGCCTCCCAAGCCCTGACACAGAGAGGAAGGGGTGAGGCATTGCCCTCATGATGGGGAAAACGGTAAATGGCATGAGGTGGATGTGAGTATTTATTGAATGCCATATGGAGCCAGATGTGGCATTTGATCTCCCCAGGAGCCCCATGTGGGCATCGTACCCCATTATAAAGGCTGTACTAGATGTACTGGGGGCTCAGATGGCAAAGCCCAACACGCCCCTGGGACCCCAGCCGAGGGACAGGACAGTGTTTGAGCTGAGGACCCCATGATGCCCCTCACATCCATGTGTCCAAGTCATCTTCAGACCCACTTTGCTGCTGCCTAGACCTCGGCCACATGCGAGTTATTCTGGGTCCACTGTGTGGGGCAGCACGGCCCCCACCTTGCTCTGAGTCGCCACCCTCATTCCTGTCTGCGCTGTGGGGGTCGGGGGTCAGGGGTCTGGGGCAGAGCCCCATCTCCCTGTGCCCCCAGCAGGGCCCTGAGCTCACAGGTGCTTTCTGTGAGCTGGACACGTGCGTGGCATCTGGGTCAGAGATGAATGAACGGTCACTGACAAAGCCAGTGTCCTGTCCTCTGGGATAGTCAGCTCAGCCCTGGGGTGCCGACCTCACTTACCCAAAGCATCGCCCAAAAGACCCGGGTCAGGGCAGCCCTGGGGTGGGGGGAGGGCGGGGAGCAGACCAGGGGTCCCCAGAGCTGACGCTGCACACCTGAGAGCAGCGACTGGGCTGTCAGGGATGTGGCCCTGGGACTGCAAGGGAACTGGGCTTGAAGCCCTCTCCTGCTGGGTTCCCTCGGCCAACTTACGGACCCTCCCTGAACGAACATTTCCTGCTCAGGGGATCCGTGTCGGGAGACTGTGGATACAGAGAGACTGTGTGGCAGTGACGGCGCACGGCAGAGGCTGGTGGTGGCTATGACAGCTAAGATGACCAGTCAGGAAACGGGGACCCTGGTGGCATCCCCGAGTGCCCACGGCCCCCCTGACAGGAGCCCCATCTGAGGGGCCCTCCTGGATTTGTGCCAGAACCAGGAACCTAGAGAGGGGCCAGCATGAACCTCCTCTTGCTGCCGTATGGAGGCAGATGATGGACCGCTGTGGGATCAGCAGATGGTCCCCAGACTCAAAGCAGGGGGAGGGAATTGGGTGCCCACGAGTGGCCGAGGGATACCCACCTGGCACAGGTGAGGCGGCAGCACGTGGTTATCTAGAAGTTTCTGCCTCCCCTGTTCTGGGGCCGTGGCACAGCTCAGGGAGCACCACCACATCACTGCACAAGTGTCTAGCCCTCAGCGTGACGGGGGCCTGTTCCCACACGGCACCCCTCAAATCGCTCCCACAGGCACGGACATAGACACCACCTGCCCCCTGTGGCAGGAGTCCAGCCCCTTGGCTAGGAGGGCTCCTCTCAGGGAGAAACACCAGAGATGGGCTTGCGGCGTACTCCCCAACCCCCAGGAGGCAGGTGGTGAATGCCCATCAGGCAGGGCGCTCACCAGCACCTCTCCTCTGCGGCCCCGCCTACCACAAGGCAGGCTCCATGGAAAAGGCCTGGAAGCCAGAGGCGGGACACAGGGACATGAAGGATTTCAGCAGGACTCGCCGTGCCCCAGCCCGGGGCCCAGGGAGCCATCAGCCCCGATCGCAGGTTGTGTCCGACTGGACACATGGAAAGATGCCCGCCCACCCTGCTCTGACGGGGCCCCCCTGACCGGCCACCCGGGCCGACCTGCCAACAGCCCAGCTCTCCATTCTGAGACCGTGGCCCAATTAGAGACGTGTGGGTCCCAGAGCTGAGCACCGCCGACCGCGGCTCCCGGCACCTCGCTTCATCAGACTTGTCACTTTCCCCAGCTCCAGGAATCGGTAATAAAAAAGAGATTTGATTTGCCTCTAATAGGTGTCAAGATAAAATCAATGGCCTGTCCAAAATCTAGGCAATCACAAACCTGCAGGTTTCTTGCCATGGAACAGTTTGGATGGGAGGATAAAAATGAAAAACAACATAAAGGTGCAACAGCAGAAACAGAGCTGCGACTTCCCGGCTGCAGGCAGTGGGGATGGGCCTGGGCACGCACCCGGCCACACAGAGACCAGCCACGGACCAAGCTGGTGCAGGGAGGGAGGAGGAGGACAGATGGGGGTGCGGGGCGGGGCCTCGGGCAGGACACCCTCCCCACCGGGCTCTGAGACACATGCCCTGCTGCGAGGGCGCCTGAGGCAGGTCCCAGCTTCGCGCAGCCTGGAGAACCAGAAGACGGGCATCAGCGGGGCAGGGAGACACCAGGAGGGCAGGGAAGCCGTGTCCCAGACCGCCCGCCAGCACGCACCTGCAGGGTCAGCCGCTCCAGCTGCATCTCCAGCGTCTTCTTCTCTTTCTCCAGGCAGCTGCGTTCCCCCTCCAGTTCCTCAACCTTCAACCTGCAAGGAGAGCCAGACCATCAGCACACACACCGCAGCTGGTGTGTCCACTCTCACGGGGACTGTCCCGCCGGGGCGGGGGTGGGGCACACTCAGGCCTGGGGGCGGGGTGAAGCCTCCATGTTCCTTCTGAAGAAGAGCGTTCTGCCAGGGGTCTCATGGACCACAACTCAAGGGAGGCAGGGAGAAGGCCAGCCAGGGGCAGCACAGGTGGGAACCTGCACGTGTCCTGTGCTCTTGGCCCACTCCCAGGGCGCATGAGCATGTATTGCAGAGGACACAGAACTGTGGAGTGAGCTGAAGAGAGCCATGGGCTGGGGAGGGAAGTAGGTGGGGAAGCAGGACCGGAGGGGCTGTGCAGAGTCCTTCCTCCTTCACAGGCCGGGACACAAAGGCTAGGGGCTGACTTGGGCATATGGCCGGCTTCGGCTCACAGTAACAAAGTGCCTAGTTTCATCTTCATTTTCAAGTTTAATTTTTGAAAAGCACTATATTCACATCATTTGAAAATCAGTAAGATTGTCCAGGAAGCTGTGTCCGACACGGACACAGGCTAAGGAACAGGGCCTTCCCCCTAACCAGCTGGAATGGAAAGCTCACATTTCATAGATTATTCAGGAAGGTCTTGGCTCAGGAGTGGAGATAATTATCTCTAGGCGGAGAAGTGCTCTAGGACGGCAGAGCACATCACACGAGATCCGAGAGGACCAAACTCTTTCCAAGAAACCTAATGCATCTCTGAAAAAAAAAGCTTGGGAAGATTTCTATGAATACAGAAACATTCAGAATCAAACCAGCCAAAATTCACAATGTCTGCCAACTAATCAAAGACTAGCTAGCAGGCATTAAAAGACCCAGGAAAATATGACCCATAATGAGGAAAGCAGTCAATCAATCAAAACCCACCATGAACTTCAGCGTTAAGGTGCATCCAAGGACATTAAATTGGTTATCACAACCACCCGCTGCTCAGCTCAGCACACGGAAGCCACGAGCAAGACAATTCCCGGAGGGGTGCGCCCCAGCGCCCGACCCCACCGGCAAACTGGGCGGGCTAACACCAGAGCAGACTGCAGGGGGAAAGCCTACGCACTGGAAGACCACAGCAAAAAAACAACACAAACCAACACACAAAACAACCCAAAACGATCCAAAGTGAAAGAGAGGGAAAGGGATACTTGAGAGTGACAAGACTGTCACCGAGCTGCACGGGCGGCTTCATGGAGCACAGCGTCAGCCTGCGTGGAGCCCTGGAAGGAAAGGGTGGGAGGGAGAGAAGGGCAGACACTGCAAGGAAAAGTGTCAGGTTGGACAATGAGCACAACCCAGATCCAAGACGATCGGCAAACCCAAGCACAAGGCCCACAGAGGAAGTGGCCCCAGTGCACGGATTAATCTAATGGCTCAAAAAGCCACCAGTGGAAGGAAGAGATGGCACCTACAGAAGAACAAAGCAGGTTTCTCATCAGACACAATGCAAGTGAGAAACAGAAGGAAAAGCTTTAAAATACTGAAATAAATTAAAAAATACCAGCCCAGAATTCCACTGCCAGTGAAAATACTCACAAAAGCAAAAAAAAGACGTTCTCTGACAAACAAAACTGGCAAGGACATGTCGCCAGCAGACCCGCTCCACGAGGGGCCAGGGGAAGCCCTCCAGCAGCAGGGTGGGGACACCAGAGGGAGACGCGGGGCCCCATAAAGGAGTGAGGTGCAGCAGAGCCCGTGACTGCCTGGGCCAACACGTGATGTCAGGGATGCTAACTGCAGCTGATGTGCGGCTGACATCTGCTATCGCGTGTCTCGGGCGTACAACAGTGCCTGCGCACTACTACAGACACCACTGAACGCTCAGCCCAGTCATGGTCTGTCACTGCACCAACCACCGCAGTGCTGTTGGCTGCACTCCCTGTACGGGACATCACATGCTCATGACTTACTAGATCATAACCAAAGGTCTGTACTCTGAATCCCCCACCCGCTCGTATCTGTGCGTCGTCTCTGCTTTCTCTTGATTGTACAGTTCTTTTGTTTTTCTTTTAGATTCCCTGAAGCAGTGAGATCAGATGGCACTTGTTTTCCTGTTTTCAGTCACTTAGCATCATACTTTTCTGGGTCCATCCACGTCGTCACAAATGCCAAGATCTCAATCCTTGTTTACAGCCGAGTCATATTCCACAGTGAACATACACCACACGTTCCACCCGAGAATGGAAGGGGATTATTACCTTTTAATAAGATTAGCTGTTGAAATGAAACTAACAAGAACGTACTGGGGTCTAAGATGAAAATACAAACAGAACGTGGGACACACATAGCAGAGGCTCGAGGGAAAACCAGACGGTGCAGCTGGGAGGCTGTATGTCAGGGAAGATGTAACTTCCCTCACATACAGACTGTGGTAAGCGGAAGATGCACCCCACAACAGGCCCTGCAGTAACAAGGAGTGACAGCCGATAAGCCAAAAAAAGGAAATAAAATGAAATAATGAAACACACACAATGAGTTAGAAAGAAGCTGGGACAACGGAAAACAAAGAGGACACGATGAGCCGAGTATACGCAGTAAGACGACAAGACCCGGTCATACCAGCCGCCACAGGACACGTGAACGGTCTACATGCCTGGTTAAACACAGGCTATCCACGCAGGTGCAGCAGAGCCCCCATTACGTCACTCCTGACAAGACTGGCAAACAGACGTGAGCCACTAACACCGAGAAAACCAGCAGAACCATCGTGAACACTCATGCACCCACGAGACAGCTTCCACAGAGATGCAGCAAAGCTGGCAGAAACGTGAGGTGAAATGCGCAGGCCCGCAATCAGAGCCCGAGATTTTGACAACAGTTTCTCAAAAGCTGACAGGACGATCAGCAGTAACCCCAGAAGGATGAAGTAAGTAGACATGAACAGCACGGTCGGCCACCTTGACGCAAGCGTCCCATAGGAACACTGTGACCACAGGAACAGAGGGCACACACACAGCATGGACCACGCAAGCAGGTTCAGCCTGTTGGGAAGGGTGTTGGTAACTCAAAATCTCTTCTGTGACCATAAGGGAACTGAGCTAGAGATTGGTGATTTCTGATAGCGTCCAGGAGCACGGAGCACGTGGGGTTCTGGAAAAGCCGTCCAAGCCCTACTCTCTGAAGAGCACGAGGGGGTCTGCTGTAGTGAAAGGCACTGACATCGGCCCAAACATGTGGGGATGCGCGTGGTCATGGCCAGAAGGCTCACTTGCTGAGATTTCACTATTCCCCACGCTGTCCTGGAAAACCCACACCGACCCCATTAAATTCCACATGTTTCTTCATACAAACAGTTGATTGTAAAAATCATGTGGAAATGTCACAGATCCAGAATGCTCCAAACAGCACTGGGGAGAAGGCTGCAGGGCTAATGCTCAATCTCAAGAACTGTCATAAAGTCACAGCAACCAAAAGAGCACTGCCCTTCAGCCATGTCAATGCAGCACAGCAGGGCCCAGGGACAGACTCCTACACACGGACAAGGGTTTTGATAAGTATTCTAAGACAATGCAGTGTAGAAGGGATGTCTTCTTAACAAATGCTGCTGGAACAGCTGGGTAGTCACTTTTTTAAAATCCCTAAAATCTGGATTTTGTAAAAAAAAAAAAACAAAAAAAAACCCCTACCTCAAAATGGAAATAAAAACCTACACGGAAGTGGAAAAATGATAAAACTGCTAAAAAACGTAGGGGCAACCCTGTGAGTCACAGCTACGGTACCCAAATCACAATAAAGGAAAAAAACAGATAAAGATCTCTCTTTAGTGGCCTTCATGAAGACAATGCAACGACAGGCCACAGAATGGGAGGGAATGTTCGCAAGGTGAGTTATCTGGCGGAGGACTTGCACCCACAATCCCCAAGGAACTCTCCAGACTCAGCAACAAGCAAACCGTCAAATAACAAACAGACAGCAGTGTGAACAGACACTTTGCCAAACCAGGTACCAGATGACGACAGACACGCGAAGATGCTCAATGTCGTTAGTCATTAGGGAGACAAAACTCAAGCGACAGCGAGCCACCGCGCACCTCTCAGGATTGCGGTGAGAAAGAGGACAGGCCAAGGGCTGGTGAAGGGATGCTGGCGGCAGGGACGCTCAGTGGTGTGGCCACTCCGGAGACACACAGACCCACAGAAAACTTACAGGAACACGCGCCAACCATCCCACAAACGGGCGGTGTCCTGCCCGAGTCCCCACAAAGACTTTCTCTGTAACGTAAAGCAGCTCTGTTTATGGCAGACGCAAGCTGGGGCAGAGTGATTGTCCCTCACCAAGCGCACACACATGCCAACAGTAGCCGGCAGTAAAAAGGAACACAGCACAGGTGTGTGCACACAGCAAAGCAGACACAGCAGAGTGGACACTGTGAGAAACTTCCCAATGGCCACCCAGCCTGCAGGGCTGAGCTCAGATCCACGGCTGTCTGGGAGGAGGGCAAGGTGCCGGTTGGGCTGGAGTAAAGGCTGGGGGTGATGGATGGGGCTTTAAATACGTGCGGCTTGCTGTAGGTCAGTTACACCCCACAGAAGATGTGAGAACACCTGCTACCCCACGCTGCCCCCGAGCGCACACTCTTCCCTGCTGTGTCGGGGCTTCTTGGAGAGGCAGACCTGGAGGTGTGAGCTATCCTGCCCCAAGGAGGTGTACCCAGGGTGTGGGGCAGGCCTGGCACCTGAGGCCACCTCCAGGAAGCTGCCTGTGGGCAGGACCCCTGCACGTTCGGGCCAGGCTGCGTGAGAAGCGCCCCCCCCCCCCCCCCCCGTGGAAACAGGATGTTACGGATTCTGCAGGCTCCTGAGCGAATGTTCTCAAGGGCTAAATTCAAACAAGCACATGTACGCGGCTGCAGGCACATCGATAAAATGGCTTATAATCCATCCCGCTGTCAGAGAACAAACCCACACAAATAACACTCGTTTACGCGTTTTAGGACACAGCCCCTCCACTCTGCCATCACCCCCCCCACT